CCATTGACATGTAGTTGGTAGGCTTGTAAAAGTAAATATGATAGAGGACATGGATATTCAGTTTTATGAGCCTTGAATAGGTAAAACTGCAGTTCATAGTAGAGTGTTCAGTGAATCATAAAATGCATTGGTTCTATGTCACAGAACATAGAACCAAAGGTATGTTTACCTTTGATGAAATTTTTCACATCTACCATGCAAACCAACCCCAAATCCTGATGTAGATCCAAAAAATGAGTCCTTCCAGAAAGGTTTGGGTTGTTTTGATTAGATAAAATGAAGATGTCTGACACTGTTTTTAAGGTCGTGGTCGCTGGACCAGACCTGTGACCTGACCTGAAACCATGAGAGCCAACATGGAGAAGTTAACTTATAAATGTAAAGTTAAATGATGTAGCAATGAAACACTTGAAATTTTCTAGATGTGACTGTGAATGTGTGGATTTAGGTGTAGCGATTAAGCTAAAGTAAGGGTCCAGGTTGAATGAGGGAAGAACCTATATGAAGATATTCCAATTGACATACCAACTGAATCAGAGATTTGGTAATTGATTATTACATTGACAGAGAAACATAAAAAAAAAATAGGCACAGTAGTATTGTTAGCTTCAAAAAGGTGAATGGGAATTGTATATAAGAAATCATTAGCTTCAATATTTTTGTGAAATTAACAGCACAGTAAATCCTAATGATGCAGTGTTGAAGTTGAAGCAGGTGCATGATGCATTACAAGATGAAATCCCTAGTGATTCTCAAATTAAAAATACCATTTCTGCAACGAAGAGTAGTATAAAAGGATGGTATAATGCCCAGTATGGTACCACCATAGTATAATCCATATAGATTTCATCATGTCTTATTTTCATTAATATATGGCTGTTTTTCTTTAGAAGTTGTGCTGAGATATATTGAATAATCCAAAATTACTAGTTTCTGGAATGATCTCTATGTTGCCCATCCCAGGCTCAGTACTAAATGATGCTGGGCTGGCTCGTGTGGCAGGTGCTAATATAATCATTGAACAGTTAATCCAATGTATAATACCAAATAATAAATTAAATGCAGTTCTGTAATATTATTTACACACATATATTAATTTAGGTTACTGTATGGTGAGATAAAAAGGACTCAAAAATCCCATAAATATTATATATGTACATCACTGTTATAAGAGACTCAACTGTATTTCTTTGGTTTGCTGACCCATGATGTGCTTATGAACCTTGAATATGGCAAAACTGTAGTCCATAGCATAGGATGCAGCAAATAAAAGAATGTATTTGGCCTCTACATTAGAAATTATATTCTCAATTTTACCTTTAGTGAGAAGAAAATAAATTTATAATATAAATCTATTTAAAAACAAACGTGTTAAAACTTTCAGGATAATATTATAAAAAGTATGGATTGTATTCAGACTTATTTTTGGTAGCCGTCATATCTCCTATTCTCTACGTAGATATGACAGTTTTACCTTATATACCTTGGTATTACATAGAGAGGGTGATCCCAGTTAATTTGATTTGAGCTCATAGGTTTAGAAAACATATACTTCATGGTTTGTACTAGTCAATCAACCATACCATTGGACTAAGAATGTTATGGTGAAGTTTGAGTTTTTACCATACACAACTTGGCAGACAGCTGACTGTTAAAGATTACTCCTTGATCATTATGGTTCTTTGATGTGGGCTGTCCACTGTTTTACTAACATGTTAGTGATTGTTTGAACCAGTGAATATGTTTGGCCTATTTAATAAAGTATTAAATTACACCCAATATGTATCAGTTACCACAACCTCTCTTGGGGAGAGGTCCAGCTGTAACCAAGACTATTCTCTGGAGTGGAAAACTGACAGTTTAAGGTTTTTAGCTTATTGACATATTTGACAAGCTTTCTCACACCACATGAATGCTTAATCTCATATCTTATGGATTAAGTCACCAGAAAACAGTATGAGGCCAATTAAATCAAACTTTAGTGGCTGTCATGCTGCTGACATGTACCAGAGCCACATCCAATCTCCTTGTTCAGATGTGTTCATTTACTGTCATATCTTTTGGCTTATTTACCTGATTGTATGTGTGCAAACTCATGAGCATTATGTAACATGGCTTCAACTACTTCACTTATTCCTGCAGATAGTTAGGCAATGCTGCAGTTGTTGGGACCCCAAAACCAGACCCACTGGGAGTAACTCAATGTCCAAAGATTATCGTGGTTGGAGAACAGTCAGTGGAGCCCCCCAGTGTCTTAGTGGTAAGTCTGAAGGCTTATAACACTAACTATCAGGTTTCAGTACCTGTGGTGGATTTTTGCTGTGTTGCATAGCCAGTTCATTTTCCCAGTCTGGTCGATCTGAGCTCACATATTTACAAAGCATGCACATCACAGTTTGAATTAACTGCTAAGCCAAACCAATGTACCAAGGATGATACAGTAAGATACGAGGCTTCATCACTTCAGTACCTTGCACTACTCAGCAAACTGCTGACTGTTAAAGTTGGCTCTTTGATTGGTACAGATCTCCTCTGGTGCTCCAAATTGGGCTATTTACTGTTCCACTAACAGATTGGAAATTGTTTGAGCTAACATGTTGGCCAGTGAATATGCTTCAACCCATTTAGTAAGTATTAAATTATAATATTGAGTAGCAAAACCTGTATTGGTGAGAGGTCTGACTATATGCAGGGATATACTCTGGAGGTTGAAAACCATGGTTTAAAGGACATTGTTCCATCAATTTAGTAGAGTGTATGACATGCACTTTGGAATTTTATGATCATTGGGATTCTAATTTATGGAATAACAAAATTGCACATTTAATTGACACCACAAATTTTTTTATAGTTCATGACTCCAGAACTTGCTTATCTCTTAGATTATTACAATAATATTACCCTTAATGGATATCAGTACAAATTTCAGTAATAAAACTGATTTTAAGAAAAGATTAATGGTTTTGCTAAATAGCTGATTGTGAGAGGCCTGTGTGATGATAGTAGTTTTGAACAGAAGTTTATATAGGATATCATTTTTGGAATTTTTTAAAATGACTTTGCATTAATTGTTAGTTTTGGAAATGATATACTGATAATTGTAAAACTGGGCCGTATTATATTTTCCACTCCTTTTAGTTGAATGTTTAGTTTGCTTTTTTTTTTTTTGGTTGTTACTATAATGACTAAAATTGGAACCTGGCATTGTTGAAGAGGGTTTCTAACTTTAACTTTCCCCTAGAGGCTATTCAGGTAAAATGGAGATTAGGCACCTAGTTGTCTGATTTTCTTACACAAATAACAGACAATATGCTGTTTAATTAGCATGTCAGGCTATTCTGGTCAGCAAATGAGGCAGTAATTTAGAGTGGACTAGCCTATTAATCTTTGCAGTCAGGCATCAGTCCCTGTTTTATTGTGTCAGGAAATCAAAAGCTTGTTGTCATATTTAAAAGAATGTTGGGTCTGAGAGAGCAGATTTTATGTACATTTATATAAATATTTCATAGATTTGTACAAGACTTCACCTAGAATGTACACAAATTTTCACTTGGTTTTCATGCAGTGTTCTGTAACTGTCACTCACTTTTGTTTGCTAGTAACAGGCTTGTATGTTTTTATGTAGTTTAACTCACTGAGAATTCTTCAAGTTTTTTTCTAATGTTAAAGTTAGCTTTTAATTTCATTTGTGCAGCTGCTGTTGGCTTTTGTCTATAATTTGATTAAGTGTTTGACTATTTCTTGAAGTTTGCCAGTGAGTATATAGCTTGCCCCACAGGATAATTGAGCCTAAGTTTTCATTTAAAGTACATGTTATTTAGTAAAGTTAAGTCAAGAGTTAACTTGTGTTGTATTTTAACTTGGGGACAGTCTTTGTTTGTAATTCTTTTATTCTTATATGCTAACCTCAGTTACAGGTAGGAGCACATGCATTAAAAAAAGCCTATTATTTAGTAAAGTATGTTGCTCCAGCTAGTTACACACCTTTTTTATTTTTAATATGCACATACAAATGGTCACTTAACCTTCATTGTATAATAACTCTTTGTTTTCTGTAAGCTATCAGGATTTAAATTATATGTTGATTTCTTATGTAAGTCTACATGTTGTGTCTCATTCTTTATGGCCCAATCGTCACAACTATCGTTAAACACTCATATGAGATGTGCAAGCTCCCTTTTTCTTTTAGCCCCAGACTTCTCTGTATTCAATTAGTGGTAATAATAGTGTTGTAATAGTTTTCCTTTTAAATCATATGGTGAAATAATTCAATGTTCAGTTCATGCAACAAACACAGATTAATTTATTTCTTCTTCTAATATTTCTATAAGCTTGAACACTTGTACATTGTCATAAATTGTTGTAGGCTTATGTTATAAATGATATTCAAATCTCTTAACAGAACATGGACTAACTTAGAATCAACTTGCTTGTACAAAGTACATGAATGAGAGACATGACTAACACAGGAACACAATACTTTACACATTGACTGAAACATGTATCTTCTTGAAACAAACTACACTTCCTTTACTATTTTGTATATATATATATATAATCAGCTTTTGAAGATACTAGAAAACTTTGAACTTTATAGGTGTGCTAGGCCTATCATAGTAAATCTTTGATCAAAACTTCATTATTAAGATCTGCAGCTCACTCTAGTTAACTTTTGAATTACAATATTAAAATTGTATAAAAATGTATTGAAAGTTTCTTATATGTGTGTTTCCTTTTATTTTGTGAGTGCTTTGCCTGAAGGATGACAAATTAATTTCCTTTTATAGTTTATACCCCCCCCCACCACACACACAAAAAAAGAAATATTGTTAGACAAATGAAAAAGTAATAATTGCATTTCATATAGCTTATCTTTAGAAAAGTACAAAATACAGTGTAAGTATATTATCAGTAGTATGTGAAAGCTAATTTTTCTCTGTTTTAAAAGTATTTGGAAAATATTATAGAGTTTTTCTTTTTCTTGTCCTTATTCAATACAGAGCTGCTTTAGAGCGAAAGGCCAAATTGTATGAACATATAACTGAAGGGAGAATTATTCCAGGTAGGGAACTTTGTTCTTCAAAAAGATTAATTAACAAGATTCTATCTTGTATGGTTCAACAGCAAAAATAAGGCCTATTTCATCAGTTTCTGGGTTAACAATTTCTAATTATGTTATTAGTGAAAATAGCTTGATTTAATATTTTTGTGTAATTTTAGAATCATAACAACTATTTTAAAAATACATATGACATTCAGATTTCTTACACAGTAATATGATACAAAAACTAATTATAGCATACTGGGAGTAAGCAGTAAATGTAAGTGTAGATCATGAAATTACCTATCTTTGGCAGCCTATCCTGACACCATGAAAGAGCTTTGGTTGTTTTTTTTTTGTGACAGTATTGTTGTAGGTATAACAGTAAATTATGCTCCAGTAAAGAATAGTGAGGAAAATGGAATATGCAAAATAAGTTTGTAAGTAAAAGTTAAGATAAACTATTTAAAAAATTCAAAAGTATCCTGGAATTAGAAATGAACACAAAATATAAGTGTATGTATGTATGTATATATAACATCCAGAGAGTGTGAATAAAGAGTAGAAATACATAGTCAATTTGTGTTGGGATTCATTCATTCAATAAATGTAGAGCAGCTTTCAAAATTTCTTCTCATTCATTTTGTCAAATACCGGGAAAGAAATATTTTAACATAAAAGACTGTTTAAGAGTTAGTGGTTTTTGGTCAGTAATTTTCTTAATAGTAATGATAAAATTTGTTGTAGGTATAAACTAAGAAGATAGAGGAATGTGATAAAAATATCATAGTAGGGTATTTCTTATTAGATATTAAATACTTTAATTTCTATGGCATTAATCTTAGTTCTAGAACTGATTATATTTAATCTTCAGCTTATATATTTTCTGTTACTGAATACAAGTTTACTATACAGATTACATCAGATAAACAATTTTTACTTTTCTACCTAAGAAATTTATCTTTTTTATTTATTCTTTTTTTTTTTTTTGAAATTGCTAAATATTTATAATATTTACTTACATATTATCTGGTACTTTGTAGTCAATTCCAGTTCCCAAGGTTACTTAGAAAAACTAGACTTAATACTTTCATTCTCTTGCAGTTTTTTATGAAGTCACTGAAAGCCATTTAATTAATTTTCACAGTTAATTTTCCTGCTCATTCTCAGTTCACTCCTTCCTTCTGAAAGAGCTTGAGATCCTTTGTTTGTTTTAAATTAGTGCTTTTCTGTCATGAACATATTTAACATACAATATGAAAATCTTAACATTATGAACACAACCCTAGAAAAATGGTAATGTATTTATTCAGTCATTTTTATTCAGTCAAGACTTTTGAAGGTTTAAACAGTTAATTTGCCTCAAAAATATGTAAAGATTTCATTTGAGGCTGCAGCTTCAATATATTGCTAATATTCATATTACAGAACCTCTCCAAAGTAATCAAATAATAATAAAAAAGTTTGCAAAAATTAAGTATGATGTAGGGATGGCAATGCCAAAAAATACAGAAACAAGGTAAGGATGAATACACAAAACCAT